ACCTCGCTCGTTTATCAAGTAAAAATTTCTTTAACATTTTTGCTCGTCTTGCAAAACACTCGCAGTCCAAGTTACTCGCAATCCAAGGTTTTGCTGTAATTCTTCAATCCCAACATCCCTTCAAATTTACATCCGATGTCAAATCTCTCTTTTCTCAGAAAAGTCCTAGAAATCATCGTCATCGTCATCATCATATCATCCTCTCCAGGCAGCCATATCGCCATTATCTCTACAGCCTTGTATAATCAGGTTTTCCTGAAAGTTAATGTACCGAACTGCTGTCCTCTGAGTGATAAACGTCATCTCTCCTCAGACATCAGTTCACTCTCACTTTTAGTTCTCTTCGACCTTTCAACTGCTATTCACACCGTAGACCACTCTATCTTCCATGAGCAGGTCCAACACTGTGCCTGGCTGCATTACAAGATTATCTGGCCACTCCCCGAGCGAGTAAACAGGCCCCATAAACCGGACCATCAAATAGTGGTGTCAAGGTGACAGACAGCTCAACCCAATATAGGAAAAATAAGCTATTCATTCATATTTGTTTACACTGAAGGTGTAAGGCACAGTTACATTTATCGTCGAATAAATCTGCAATTTTACGGCAAGTTTAAGAAACGTGGCAATCATTAGACCTCCTTTGCCGGTACCAAAATATAAAAATAGGGTTTTTCCCCTTTTTTCTGGCAACAAAACTGAAACCTTTTTACCAGGAATCACGTGTGCATTAACCACAATACTTGCAGTCAAAATGCAAACAAAAAACATACTATGATAATATATGCATTGTCCTTGAAACTGATTGGTCCACACCAGAGACAGCTTTCTTTCGAGCCAAGTCTCAATTGGTGCTAGGCCAGATGACGCCAAAAGAAGTACAGCTCAAAGACTACATCAAATGATGTAGATGCTCACCCCGAGCCCTCATTACTTTGATGACGCCTTTTGGCGTCATCTGGTCGAGCACCAATTGGGTCGAGGCTTAAAAGAAAGCCGTCCCTTGGTGTGGACCAATCAGTTTCAAGGACAATGCATATATTATCATAGTATGTTTTTTGTTTGCATTTTGACTGCAGGTATCGTGGTTAATGCAGACATGAATCCTTGTTAAAAGGTTTCCGTTTTGTTGCCGGATGAAAGGGGAAAACCACTATTATTATAACTCTCTCACTACTGGTGCCATTCCTCTTCCCCCGCAAGACTGTCGCTATCACTTCCTTCCTGAAAGAAACCCACACTTAACCCACATATCCATGAAACTGTCCACCCAATCTCAAACCTTCCTATCTGTGGACAGTTCCTGAAAAGTGTAATATTCACTCACCTTTTCAAGCATCCCATGACCCAATACAATCTGGTATCTGCCAAGGTCTCTGTGTAGACTGATTTTGTGCATGTGGTCAATCACCTCTCTTCAGATCATGGATAGATCTCGTTGTTTATTTTGACACAAAGTCCATACCATCCTCCTCGAGCACCTTAAAACCTATACACGCACCTCCAGAACACTTCTCTCATTATTCTGCTCTGTCCTATCATCCCCACTCATATTATATTTTCAAACTTTCAACATATCCCACTCAAAAATAGCTGTACTATGGTTTACCACAAGGTTGCATATTTTTAGCATGTAGATTTTATCCATCTGTCACCACTTGACAATTGCATCTACGCCTGTAACGATGACCACCATTTCCATGACAAGGACTCCATTCTTATCTTACTTATTATCCATTAACCTCACTGTCTGTATCTCGCATCCAACCTTGATGCATTCCAATCTTGGGTTGCTTGAAACTTTCTTCATTCTCAGTATTTTTGAACACTGATGTTTCCATCATTGACAATAAGTCTGCCAGTAAAGACTCCAAGATCAAGCTTTGCAAGAGGTTGCCAAAACCTTGGAGTTACTTTTGATACCAAACTCTCATAGTTCTCTCACATGTAACTTGCAAGACGTCCATCTGCACAAGTTATCCCGCATCATATTGCTGCTGAGACCCTTAACCATGTCTTCATCACATATTCGTCGACTGCTGCCACTCTTGCTTTCATGGTCTCCCCAAATCCTTCAACTTCAAATCGCAGATGATCCAAAAATGCATCCAGAAATTAAATAACTTCACCGCAATCCTCGCATTCTTCCACTGGCTCCTACTTGGTCTAACCCTTGGCTGCCTTTCACGTCTCGTCTCGGTCTACTCTGACTTGCTCAAGAAACCAAAGCCTATAAAAAAGAAAACACTCAGTCAAACCCTGCGCAGAGTGGGAGATTGTAACTTCCAGTCTCTGAACAGCCTCGCTGCAGCGGTCTCCTCTGAGAAACTCTTTTAGTCTAAACGCTCTCCCGCCTACGGATGCCTCTTAACATTGAGGCATTTTAACTACAGTAAAACCTTGGATTGCGAGTAACTTGGTCTGCGAGTGTTTTGCAAGACGAGCAAAATTTTTAAGTAACTATTAATTTGATAAACGAGCGAGGTCTTGCAATACGAGCAGTACGTATACGTTCTAGATTTAAAGCTTTCGTGACTGCAAGGATCCATACTCTTTGGTTCCATTGGGTAAAGTCACGTAGGTAAAAAATAAAATAACAAAAATCACGACGTTTCGGCCACAACACAAGCGGCCTTCATCAGGTGAAGCGCTGTCCTCCAGACAGTCTCGTCCCTTCACCTGATGAAGGCCGCTTGTGTTGTGGCCGAAACGTCGTGATTTTTGTTATTTTATTTTTTACCTACGTGACTTTACCCAATAGAACCAAAGAGTACGTATACGCTTTGTCTGCCGAGCGTCACGTGGTCACAACTGATATACGAGTGCTTTGATATACGAGTGCTTTGGGTTACAAACACGAATTATGCTCGCAATCCAAGGTTTTACTGTACATGTTACCAATAAGGCCTCTCTCTGCTGTATAGTTTCCTACTCTTTATACATACAGCACCTTGATATATTCACATTTAGATGCTCTATATATCCTCACTTTTCTACTTGATATGACATGACAAACGCAGATGCCGTTTGCTTTGTAATCTTCGATTAACATTCCTGGCATTCAATGGGTCAATTTTTTCAGAAACTCAACGCATCATGTATTTTTACATTGATTGTTCCTACACTTATCTGTATAATTGCTGACGCATGCTTAATTCCTACTGACCTGGCATTCGAAAATCAATCTTTCATCATAAGTGACTTTTGGCTGGAGCATCGACTCTAATCATCACAAAGACGTCCTGATTTTCAGACATCCCACCCATTTGAAAACATTGCCTTGATTCAAAGGTGACACTCTATCCCGCTTCTTCCTACAAAGGAAAACAGCAGCTGTGTGCTCTTTGCAGTTGTGCGAGTGACACATCTGCCATCTAGTGGCAAACTCTAGAGAGAGATAGCAATCCCACACGATTTCAGGGTCATGTGCCATTCACTTGGCTTTTTTATTTTTACAAAATACACAAATATAAGGTATACGTAATCATTTAAAGCCTCTTTATTTACTGGAACACAATGGTATTTGTAAACACGTGATAGTTCATCCATTGGCCAAGTATTAACTTCATTGCCTAGCCTCATGTTTTGTATCGCTCAATTTCATTTCTTGAGTGAAACCCATTGAGCTGAGATGCCCCCTTTTTCAATGGCGACCCAGCCAAAAGCGGCAAAGCATGTTACATGGGAAGAGAGAGAGTGCACGGGGGTTGTGTATAACAACAGCAGGGATGTGTACGTATACATCGGAGTGAGGATACTGGAAAACAAAGTAATGTAAGAATGGGGCCTTAAAAGGGAGTCATGTTTATTCAAAAGAAAAAAAAATCCAATTCCACAATCCCTGATTATTATTATTACTTATTTTAACTGTCCATAACACATCATTAAATACTACAATTCACTTAGCAAATCCACTGTATTTTTACATGGGCTTACTTTGCTATTTCTTCCGTACCCTTTCTCTTTCGTCACGTTATACTCTCAATAGCATACAATCATTATTGCTCGTAAGAGCTCAGGATACAAATGTACGTAGTTTAAAGCGATATCTTTTTCACTTTTGACATTGCACTATTTAATCCGATAAATGTGGGTAATTATAAAGCGTATGATGAGGGTTATTTAAGTTCTGAACAGCTTATTGTGGAGTAATGATGAGCAACTGTGATTACCGGTGATGAGGGTGTCTAGAAATGTCACTATCTGCTTTTAAAAACAAAAACAATCCTGATCTATATTGGGTTTTCTTAACTTAAAACATATTTGGTTTTGCATGAGGCCAATTGTATGCCGACCTTCTTGTCATTGGCATGAAAGCTACTTTGTGGCCAAACTCAAAAACAAATATTGATCATTGCATTGATCAATATTTTCAGATGAGATAAATCGTGCATAAGCATGAATTCTGTAACTCTTTCTAACATGTTGGTTCTTGGAAGTGCAATTTCATTCGCGATGATAATTTTTAATCTGCACAACGAGACGCTATCACACGGCTATGCACTGCATTATGTGAGATGACATCACGTGTAATGACGTCATTGCCTTGGCTAGTAAGGTGAATTATTTTAGTGCTGATTTTATCGCCATACTTTTGGGTAACCATTTTGATAAATGTGGTCGATTTTCTGTCGGGTAAGTCCATAATAGCAACACAAGTTTATACCAATATTTCATATATATTGAATTATTTTTACTACAATTAATGTAGACCCCCCCCCCCCCACAGTATCATTCATTTTGATTTAAAGCTTTGATTTAAAGCTTTCGTGACTGCAGGGATTCATATTCTTGGTTCTTTCGGTAAAGTCACCACCACGTAGAAGGGAAACAATAAAATAATACAAATTTAATAATTTTATTATTTTATATTTTATTATTATTTTATTGTTTCCTTTCTACGTGGTGATTTTACCGAAAGAACCAAGAATAGTTATAATTCATAATGAGCATATTGATTGTGATGCGCTTTCTGCTTTTTTTTTACTTTTTCTTTACAGGTGAAAAATGCAGCAGCAAATGTGCTCAGGGAGACTTGGCTGATTTACAAGCACACCAAACTCGTCCGGAAGATTGACCACTCTCGGGTCCGCAAGCATCAGCGCAAATTCCTCCAGGCCATTTATCAGTAAGTAACTAAACCAGCACCGCATATCATCAGAGAGTAAGCCGGTCCAGGGAGAAGTAACGGGATCTGTATTAACCATTGCTTTTAGTGTGCCATGACAAAGATCCCAGCTGCCGACAAAATCCACAGTCGTTAATTTGTAAGCCTCTTCTGTCTATGATGAATCTTAACACCTAACAAGCTTCATATAACCTTCTTGGTCCTTTCGGTAAAGTCACGTAGAATGGAAATAAAATAATAAAAATAAAACATAATATTTTATTTTTTATTTTATTATGTTTTGTTTTTATAATTGTATTGTTTCCCTTCTACGTGGTGGTGACTTTAACGAAAGAACCAAGAAGATGAATCCCTGCAGTCACGAAAGCTTTAAATCAAAATGAATGATACCGGGGGGGGGTCCACATTAATTGTGGTAAAAATAATTCAATATATATTAAACATTGGTATAAACTTGTGTTGCTATTATGGACTTACCCGACAGAAAACCGACCACATTTATCAAAAGGGTTACCCAAAAGTATGGCGATAAAATCAGCACTAAAATAATTCACCTTACTAGCCAAGGCAATGACGTCATTACACGTGATGTCATCTCACATAATGCAGTGCATAGCCGTGTGATAGCGTCTCGTTGTGCAGATTAAAAATTATCGCAAATGAAATTGCACTTCCAAGAACCAACATGTTAGAAAGAGTTACAGAATTCATGCTTATGCACGATTTATCTCATCTGAAAATATTGGCCTCATGCAAAACCAAATATGTTTTAAGTTAAGAAAAACCAATATAGATCAGGATTGTTTTTAAAAGCAGATAGTGACATTTCTAGACACCCTCATCACCGGTAATCACAGTTGTTCGTCATTACTCCACAATAAGCTATTCATAACTTAAATAACCCTCATCATACGCTTTAAATCGAAATTTAAGCTTCATATATATCATGATGCATTGTCAGAATTTTCTTTGGTTATTTTCATAGTAAAGCACCAATGAATTGACGGGAATTACCCAGGTCACTTTAAAAAAATGAGACTCTCCTGGTGTCGTTAATTTTTCTCGCCTAGTTATGAACTAAATAAACTTGACTTGGATGTATACAGCACTGACAATTACAGATTGTACCACGGCACTAATAATTATTAGAGATAAATAACTTAGGACCTTGTTTGATCTAATCTAAGCCTTAATGCGATAATTGCATGTAGTGTGATGAAACAAAGCACCAATACATTGGATTGTTTTTTATAAACTAACTAGCTGTACTACCCGGCTTCACCCGGGACTTGGATTCACCACACCCAGCCGCCTTTGTCTCACCAGTGGCGATGTTTACACACGGCAGCAGTTACTCGTTTGAGGCTGAGTCGACCTAGGGGAGGCCCAGGATCGGTTAAAATAATCGTCACCGGTGGTGGCCATGAGCGGGAATCGAACTAGGGTCGCCGGGTTCGTAGCGCGGTGCGCTAATCGCTCCACTACAATGCGTTACGCTTCCACATGCGTGGGTCACGTGACAGATTTGACGTCACAGCTCACTTGCCGTGCAAAAAAATATATACATTATTGATCTCCGCCCCCCCCCCCCCCACCTAAAAAAAAAATCGAAAGTGTCTTTTTATAATTTTTGCATGGTGTACAGTCTGGAAAGTACCCACATGGCAAATTTCAAGTTTGTTGCATGTCGGGAAGTACGCTAAACATTTTGAACAAGACATACATTCTTGGTTCTTTCGGTAAAGTCACGTAGAAGGGAATCAATAAAAAATATATATATAACAATTAAATTCTCACGACATTTCGATCACAACACAAGCAACCATCATCAGGTGTGAAAACCACAGCAAGAACATTTTAAAAAACTTTTCTTCGAATTTTCTTGCTGTGGTTTTCACACCTGATGATGACTGCTTGTGTTGCAGTCGAAACGTCGTGAGAATTTTATTGTTTTATATTTTATTATTTTATTTTTTCCCTTCTACGTGACTTTACCGAAATAACCAAGAATATGAATCCCTGCAGTCACGAAAGCTTTAAATCAAAAGACACACATATTCACAACTTTGCCTTTTATATTTATAAACTAATGAAAGAGGTTGTAACTCAGAGATATTATTTGAAAAAATTGGATGTTCTTTCTTTTTCTTTCCAAATGTGCCTCTTGTTTTTCCACTAGCCCATGTTTGTGGAAAGTCAACAGGGATTATCCACTTCAGAGACTGATGTTCCCAGCACCGTCTAATTTGCATTCCATGAGTACCCGTCTCAAAAGTCTATCAGGAAAACAATTTACTTGCATGAAATAGTTTTTGCTACATTTGAATGAAGACCATTGTATACCAAAGTACATGTTTTTTTTTAAACTAGATTAATTGACTGAACTAGTTTCATTTTGGTTTAAAGCTTTCGTGACTGCAGGGATTCATATTCTTGGTTCTTTCGGTAAAGTCACGTAGAAGGGAAACAATAAAAGAATAAAAATATAAAACAATGAAATTCTCACGACGTTTCGACTGCAACACAAGCAATCATCATCACATGCAAGCAATGATCATCACATGCGTGAGAATTGCTTGTGTTGCAGTCGAAACGTCGTGAGAATTTTATTGTTTTATATTTTTATTATTTTATTGCTTCCCTTCTACGTGACTTTACCGAAAGAACCAAGAATATAAAGATGATGAAAGTGTTAATGAGTGGTGAACGATGACTGAGTATGATGAATTGGTAGGGAAATTGGGAAGAGGAATGGTATTAGTGATGGGGAATGAAGGGAAGGAGAACGGGAGTTGGGGTATATGAGGGAAAATAAGTGAGTTTTAAGGGAAAGAACGAAAATCAGTGAGGCTGATTGTTTGACATGTACGAGAAGTTCGTTCCGGTCTAAGGGGGCTAGACGTGAGAAAGAACGGAATCGTGATTGGGCACAGGGAGGAGTGGAAACAGAGGACAGCTGGGATTGTGAACGGAGAGGTGGGGCTGAAACTCGAAAGCTCCAGTGTCAAGTTCCACTCTCAGGAGTCCTGTGCAAAGTCACGGAAGACAATGACGAGGTTTGAACTCGCAGGGCTACGGAAGCAGGATCGCAGCAGTGATGACGTGGTTTAACTTGCAGTGCCTCGCAGTAGCAGGATCACAGCAGCAACGGCGAGGTCGCATTCGTAGAACTTGGTCCCAGGTGAAGTTACAGCGTCCCAATAACTTTAGGTATCGAGACACTGACCAGGTTGATGCTTTCTAAGAAATTTCAGGGATTACCAGTTTCCGATGAGCTGATGCTCAGCAGGCCTCTCCCGATGTTCACGAGGTAGCGTCCAGGGCACGTGACGAGATAGCGACTGCTGTGCTTGATGAGGTGATGCACGAGGCTTTGCTGAATCACCTCCAAAGTATATTTTCTATTGCGACTTACCGGGTAGTTCCAAGCAAGAGCGAATGCTGCCCAGAGGCCCCAAAGTCTTCATGCATTGACGTTGGCGGCAGCAATCTCTTAAGTTTTGATTTAAAGCTTTCGCGACTGCACGGATTCATATTCTTGGTTCTTTCGGTAAAGTCACGTAGAAGGGAAACAATGAAATAATTAAAAATATAAAACAATAAAACCAAGAATATGAATCTCTCAGTTGTTCGCAGGCGAACTCCTGACAGCCACAGTTGCTCCAGGCAGACCTCGGGGGTGATCTGCAAGCTAGCTCTCCGGGTAGACTCCGGGAAAATGTTTCCATAGCTCGGAGCAGCACGCTGGAGCCTCGTTCAAGCCACCCGTCTCTCTCCATCTAGACGGCATGTCCTCAAGATAGATGCCACCTCGTGACCTCTTCCCGAAGTTATCTTTCTTCCGGATGATGCCATTCTCATTTCTTTGGTTGGAAGAGTCTCTTCTAGAAATATATATATGCTATGAGGAAGGCGAAACTTCACATATTAGAGATGTTTGTTTCCTTTTAGGGTTGTGTTATTGACGAATGTGGGGGTTTGCTTCTAAAAAGGGCTTACCAGTGCATTAACATTAACCTGCCCAGGTATTTTGAGATGCATTTTAGAAACTAGAAAATAATTGCAAAACTCGCAAAGATCCTGGAACACAAGCTGGGAAGTAGACATTAAACCACGGAGTGAACAATTATAGGAATCAGGTTGCTTTACGGAAAAAAAATATCAGAAATATTGATCATCAAACAAATGCAAAGCAGAGATCACTTGTTTTCTGTCATGGTAAATACTTTTTTTTTCTGCTGTCATAAACAACCTTGGTTAAAGTGCATCCCCTCACCTGTTATCATTTAAAGGGCGATTGTTAAAGGCTGTTGAATAAGACAAGTGATGAAAATACGACTAAAAGTGAGAACATGTATGATATGATTACTGCCAGAGAGATGGAGCAATTCGTTTAAGTAATTTGCATGAGATGGACAAATCAAAGCACACGGGACTGTGGAGAATCGACAAAGAATAGGAAGGCTTTAATGTAGCAGTGAATAAATAATGGCTGATGATGGTAATTTGACTTTTAACTCGTGTGTTATATATCACATTGCGTCTTGATATTTGATTTTCATAACATTGAATATGAATGTTCGCATGAGCAGTGGCACAGTGGTTAGTGCTCTGCACACTGAACTAGGAAACTTGAGTTCGACTTATGGCCACAGCTAACATCATTGGTGAGTAATATCTGAAATGGTCCTGGCCCCTGTATACCAACCCCTACTAACCAGCATGGTAAAGTATGGTCAAACAATTCCCATGACCGACATGGGTGTCTTTCATCCAGCTATGGATTGACAAGAGCTGTAAAGTATTTGTTATTGTTATATTGTTGTAAAAACATTGTTACATGGTTTAGGACATTATTTCTACCTTTAAGTTATAATAATATCAGTTATAATATTGCTTCTAATGCCTTATTTCCGGATGGTGTGAGATGAGTAGTGATTATGTTTAGACTATAGAAAGTAAAGATGGATGTGTATTTTTCTTTAGGCTACGGAGTGTAAAGATGGAGCAGAGGAAACTCACAGACCAAGCAAACACACTTGTGGACCTGGCGAAGGTATTCCGCACAAGGCAGTCCATTACTAACCAACTTAATAGTATGTTATATCAGGAATTTTCAAGTCAACAGAGCCATGCCATTGTGACTGAAAGTTTGGAGAAAAGGAGAGGACATGGCAAAGTGTGTGCCATATTCTCAGTACGGAGCAGACGGCGAGAAACAATGTCCGCGACCTGGTGGAGTTCGGGGAATGCGAAGGGTTTTCCTCCTCCACAATATTCACCAGATTTAAGTCCGTGGGACTTCCAAAAGATAGTCTCTACAATAGCGAGAGAGATTAACCTTTTCCCGATCCGATGACGTCCGTGTACCCACGTGCACGTCATCAAAACGAAACCAGATGAAAACATTTTAATAACTTTTATCAGTTCTGAGGCTCTCACAAGGCCATGCGGCAGGGCGTGTGGCACAGCTTTGGCACCAGCTGTCATAGAGTGCGGTCGTGTCGATGCAGTTCTCTGCGGTGAGCGCAATGTCTTTAAAAACAACGGCGCTATGCCTCTCTAAATTAAATTAACGCTGGGCCACTTGCAGACATCTCGGAATGGGAAAAGGCTAATGCCGCATTCTCTGTGTTAAAGATATTTTAGGAGCCGTCTGTCCGATGTCAATCTTTGAACGTTCATAAATTATATTTTGTCTCAATTTTGTGACTTCTCTTCAAATCTTTGAATGTCATCTGAAAATAAGGAAGACAATTTGATATTGCTAATGATAATAGATAAAGTAGTGTTAACATAAATATAATAGCGCTATGTGCCCAGGGCACCACGGTGGCGAGATGCTAAATACCTTGCCTGGTATACCGGAGGTCGTGGGTTTGATTCCGACCTTTGATGCCTGTTGTATATTTGGACTTTGCATATTCTCCCCAGGTCGCGTGGGATTTTCTCCGAGTCCTCGGGTCTTTCCCTCCACATTTAGAAGCATGCCTTTAGAGTAATAATTGGCTACAATAAATGTCCACATAAGCACGATCATTTGTAGCCAAGTCATTTGCGAAAAAGAGCTAAATAGCTCTGGGCCTTACCTACTAAAATAAAGAAAAAATAAGTCGTTTATAGTTTAGCATTTGGACCACCCTGTATATAGCAGATGCCATGGCACCGCTAAAAACGAACAGTATTTTTATTTTCTCTGTTTTCCTTCCAAATTTGTTATCACGGTCCAACTATAAGGGAATTAATTACGTCACAAGTGACGTCATCACGTCTATGGAACGACACAGGCAGATGTTTCTACTAATATAGCTGTCCGCCTGATGGTGCTAGTTGTAATTACTACAAGAATTGCGTAGGCATGTGACTAGCAGCCACAGCCATTCGGATAGGTATTCTAGATGTGGTGTGCCGGATGTGCAAATAGATTATCTATCTTCAATCTGGACAGACCTGGCTGAAATTTATCCCTGGTGATGAACTTCCACCAAATTGGAAGTTCATTTCCTGCAGCTGCCTGGTATTTATATGAATGATTAAAGACACTACGCACTTTTGTTATAAAATAGATGTTAACATTTACAAATATGCAAAGGATTTTTTTTTTATTCAGACCTTACGGCATCATTCACAAGAGTAATTAATTGTTTTATTTTGACATAACTTGTATTCAGATTTTGGAAACGACTCCAATCAATTTGCAAAAACGTAAACATAACTTTGGTTGTATGTTCTCCCTGAGAGAAAATATAAATCTCCCTGGAATGTGACTGAAATTAAAACACATTGAATCACATATATTCTTAGCTCTTTCGGTAAAGTCACGTTGAAGGGAAACAATAAAGTAAAGAATTGAATCACACCAAATAGACATTGGCATCCATCTGTAGCCCATCTTTTAATCAGGTGAACTACATTTGCATTTCAAAAGAAGCCCCTTAGTGTCTCCTGGCTTAATTGAGTGCTCATTTCAAAGGCAGCGTTAATTTCTTTTTGTGCCCCAAATTCCCGTGCATCCTGCAAGTAACCACAACATCATTTAGTCATCTTCCTGTATGCGCACCATACCAGACAGGGAAGTCATATTCCTGTGGCGTCACACCCCTCTCAAGTACCTGTGTAGTGGGTTCACTGGACACAAAGACGGTGTAGTAGAGGCAGCACTATTTATTCCAACTTGGCAGGGTTACACTGAGAAGGGATAACGGCCCCTTCACCCGTAATCACACTGGGACACCCTCTAGGCTAACAGCCTAACTATTGTACTCCCAGCTCCTCCGCTACAGGCGCTAGAGGAGGCTATCTGACCTGGCCCTGGTCATGGCACAGGTCACGGCACCCATCCAGACAGACCGGTCCTTAAAAGGACTTCGGCTCTGAGGCTCTGGTGCCGCACCACTGGCTTGCCCTGCCCGGTCCTCACAAGGACAGCGGGTTAGGGTAGTCCCAGGGTCTATCTAGCCGGCCTTCTGTCTTCGCTGGTTCTTCGCTCTTGGCTTCCCCGACACACTGCCACGAGCTCTCTGGCTCCCCGCCTTTTATACCAATTCACCACCGAGGGGCGGGACTGTGAGGGATCGAACATCCCCCCCGCAGCCCCCCCCCCCAGGTTGTTGGCTGTAGCGGACGTGTTTGTGGCCACCGCTATGTAACTGTGCGTTTCCTTCCCGCAACACCCCTACACCTGTAAGAAGGGGGAGGCTTCAGACGGGGGGGGTAACTCTGTTATGTACACGTCTGTGCAGAGAACACTTTTTGTTCAATTTTTTTTTAAATCTCTTTTTCCAATGAAAAATAATTTCAGTCTGCCCGTGCGGTTGCTCCCCTGTACTTTGCCGAGCTCAGCAATCCAGAAAACACGAGATATATTTAACAAGAGAGTACTTCCTAACAGTGGCGTGAGTCTACGGTGCTAGCAACACAGATAGGTGTTTGCTCTGCCTAGATTTCAATGTTTAGATTGGCATTGCTGGAAGCAATGAAGCATGGGTGCTCGGAAGGTCGTTGTGAATTGACCCAAGCTGCTAGACTTATCGCTGATGCCGGATTGGATAAGTTAACAAAGGTGGTCTCCGCTCCTGCCACCTCATTGGTGACGGGAAGAGTTCTCCAGCAATGGAAAGCTGATCTTTGGTTTTTTTTCGGTAAAGTCACGTAGAAATAATAAAAAAATAAATTACATAATATACGACGTTTCAATTGCAACACAAGCAATCATCATCAGGTAGAGGAAACACATAACCGCAGAGATATATATACAGACCTTAAGTAGAAGGAATTAACACAGATATACTTGTGTTGCAATCGAAAAATCGTGTATTATGCAATTTTATTTTTTCTTATTTCTACGTGACTTTACCGAAGAAAACAAGGATTAATTCCTGCAGTCACGAAAGCACCAAATCGAGTTTGAATGGAAAGTTGACCTGCTTTCTTTCATCAGCACCCCAAACAACAGCCAGCTTACCATTTTGACATGGCATTTTTGTTTGCAAAGGACCTCCCGGATCAGTTTAACTCTCTCCCGTTCTTATGACATATGTGTCTATGTCATCTGAACCGAACCAGAAGATAAACTAAAGTAACTTTTGTCGGTACCGAGGCTCCCACAAGGCCACGAGCGAAGGGAGCGTGGCACAATTTGGCGCCAGCTGTCATCGAGTGCGGTCGCGTCGCTACGGTTCTCTGCGGCGGGTACAGTGTCTTGAAAAACAACGGCGCTGCGCCTCTCTCAATGCAATGTCTGCTGAAACCGCTTGCGCATCCCGAGATTCAGCGGTGAACGGGACACCCACCTTGCGACTTGCAGGGCTCAGAAGACTGAAGGACAAGCCATGAAACAGTGGCGGATATTGGTGATGATATAATTGTAAGGCTTAAGTCACATTTCAGCTACCCGAGCAAGGCTGGCTTTAGAGCAAAACTGCATCAAGTATGTTTGGCAGTTTCGACAGTGGAAACCACTCGGAGCACTCGGAGCCACCACAGAGCCCCCCAGGATAGAGTTTTGGGTGTCCTGCCTTCCACGCCCCAATATTCGATTGATTGGGCATGTGTCTGGGGAGGTGTGAACTCGGTTATTCACCGATTAAAATCCGAAGGGGCCCAGGCATCGGTGACTAACCGAGTTATCCAAGAGGACTGCGCATCCCTCCATAGGGCAATTGCTGTTGACACCCCACCAAATTGGTTATTTTGTTGACCTTCGGGATGATTGGCTAAGTTGCTGGACGACTGGGTTTCAAACAACTTTCCAACCTTTTTTTTATTAAATCATCCCCACCTAACAGAGTATCTGTATGAAGCTTAGAGAGATTATATTATTTAGAGTGATGTCTTGACAATCGTATGAAAGCAGAATTTGAAATATTAACGTGTTAACCGTTGACATTGGTGCCTAATTGCTTTGACCGCATGAACACTGTGCCTCGATAATACAGCGTTAACTCAATTCCAGACGCAGAATGTGATGTACGATCTTGTGTCGGACCTCAACGAGAGGAACGAGGAGTTCGAGAAGCGTCTGGCTACCATGGAGGGCAAGCTCGAAGCTATGGCAGACTGCATCACCTCGCTACCTGCGCGTATTGCACAGACGATGATTGAACACATGGCTACGGGGCACGATGGGCCCCTGGCTCTGCGGCAGTGCGAAATCGCCCCAGCGCAGCTCAGCTTGGACGGGACATTGCAGTACGTCAGGGAAAGGCAGATGCACATGCCCAGCCAATCGCAGCACAGTTTTGACTGCGGTCTTTTGCACGTGAGCAGCTCGATGTCTCTCCACAGCACATCCGGCGGCCCGCTCACCAGCAGTACATCGCTGCATCATAGCACGGGGGCTGGTGGCCTCGTACAAAACGGAGTGGGACGGCCCCAGCGGCCACTGAGCCCCACCCTGAGCAGCACGTCCCGGAACCAATCCACTTCCCCAGCCAGACACCGCCGATTGGCCACAAGTGGACTACATGCGCACCAAAGCATGTGACGTGGCAGGGGGATTGCGAACGGCTTCCCAATTCAGTTGCCTTAGCGAAGTATTTTATAGAGCGCTGTCGAATTTGCTTCCGTTATTGCTTTCTCAGTCTGGCTTTGCTGCTGCTCGTAATTGGATTGATGTAGGAGCGCGTATGTGATTTGCTGGGCTTTTTTTGCAAACGGTGTACGGTTAGGGGGTGCTGGCTGGGAAATAACTCAGGTGTATGTCTCCCGCAGCCCTAATTCAAACAAAACAAACCCCTTATCACAGCAAATATCTAGCGACTAAAGCGTTATTTAGTATTTTGCACATTATGATAAAATACAGTGAAAGCACAATTTTTTCATTGCTTCCGTTTGCCCTAATCCAAAGATGTCTATCAATATTGTATTGCGCTACTATTTATTTCACTGCAGTAATGTTTGTCTTCACGTAGGGTTCTCCAACCAATGGTATATCCGAAGCACCCCACAAAAAAAAGGGTCACAGTCCGTGACACAGGGTTGGCAAATAATCAACCTCTTGGCATAGGAAGGCATGGGTTTAGTCGTGGGAGGGTATCTTCCTGTAGAAGCTGGAAGAGTATGCGTCGTGTACCCGTGACTCTTCCGATCTTTGCCAACTCTGTGCCAATGAATGTGCGGCCTCGAAAGTTGAGCGTGGAGCTGGAGAAAGAAATATGTTATTCATCGTACATTCACTGGCATTCTCTTGTGCTCTTTCGGTAAAGTCACGCGGGTAGAAAAATAAAATAAAGTGAATCACGACGTTTCGATCGCAACACAAGCGACCGTCATCAGGCCTGATGTAGGTCGCTAGTGTTGCGATCGAAACGTCGCGATTCATTTTATTTTATTTTTCTACCCGCGTGACTTCACCGAAAGAACCAAAGAGTATGGATTCCTGCAGTCACGAAAGCTTCGAATCAAGATTCACTGGCATCGTTCGATTTAAAGCTTTCGTGACTGCAGGGATTCATATTCTTGGTTCTTTCGGTAAAGTCACGGCTGCTTGCGTTGTGGCCGAAACGTCGTGAGAATTTAATTTTATTGTTTTATTATGTTTAATTGTCATTATTTCCCTTCTACGCGACTTTACCGAAAGAACCAGGAATATTCACCGACTTTGTTCATGTTTTTTTTTTACATTGCGACTGACGATTCCTACTTTTAGGATGATGATTATTTAACATTTTGAAGCATTCCACATCCGATGTTAATGGGGTTTTGCTTTCTGAGAAAAAAACATTAAACAAGAGTGTTTTTATTATTATTATTGTGTGAAGAGAGTGCCTCACATTTAAATTCGCCTTTTCTCATGCCCTTCCTATGCAAGTCCAACAGCTCCAACTGCAGTGTATACTAATCAAATTGTAAAGAGATGTTTTCGAGAACCCACAATATGTAGTCATACCTGAGAAAAATGGGTGATCGAAAGTCCAGTGCTGTGAAAACAAATACATCGGTTAGCTTCCAGTGAAATCAATGGTTTACAGTATATTTACATTCGCTATTAAATGTAATATTTACGATGTATTGTTTGCTAATGTAATTTTGTTAATTATATAAATCATTGCATATATCTATATATAATGTAAGATTGAATTGAACATTTATATAATTTTATATTGCCTTTTTTTTTAAAATAAGCACCTAATAAATGATGTTACTTGCATTAATCAATTAAAATTATATCAAGTCATTGCATTGTGTGTCATTCTGTTATGCATTATTTATACTGGTAGGAACGAAGTTGTTAAACTGAGTGTACCAGCCTGCAATAGATTAATGTGTCCGTCCGTCCGTCCCCTTTCAAAAGCCCCATAATACCGTATACCGGGAAACAATTCCTCATTTTAAAATGCAAATTGCGCAAAATTCCAATGTTCCTACCAGCCCACCCTGCAGGGACCTGTTTTATTAGGTATGTGCAGTAACATGTACTTATTTTCTTTAAAGGCAAGCTTAAATGTGTTTGCAGTTGCCTTCCTGGTATGTAAAGTGCCTCATATCTGAAATTGATACTGAATGTCACGTGATGACAATGCACTCTGGATTTGTAAATGATCGCTGTCGCAGCCTTGAAGGTGATTAAGAAAAATAAAGTAGTTATATCGTCAAAAGGCATCGTTAGCTCCAGCAGAACAATGAAAGAGAAACACCTTGAGGAGAGGATGAGGTTGTTGATCACGCAAAGGAGAGCGGTTGGGGGGTGGGGGGGGACTTGGAATGGCATCGACTGAAATTGCGTTGACCCAGGTCATGAGCACGGAAAGTGAAGAAGTCTATAGAGGTGAGAGGTGTTTTTTTCACACAAGTTTATGGACTTTGAGGTCAACTGAGTAGAGTTTTTTCTCTCCAGAGTACATGTATATGGCACGTGTAGTCTTGCTGTGGGGGATGGAACAGAAAGGGATGAGATGTAGGCTTTCATGAGGCCTTGTCTGTGAGACACGTGTGTGTGTGTGTGTAATATATACTCTGGTTCTTTCGGTAAAGTCACGAAGGTAAAGAAAAATAAAATAAAAGATAAAAAATAAATTAAATCACGACGTTTCGATCGCAACACAAGCGGTGGTCATCAGGCAAAGGGGTCCGCCTCTAAAGGCAAACAGTTTATAAAGGTTTGGGGATGGGCGTAGCCCAAGTGTATCAACACCACCAGGAGCACGGGCGGTGTACAAGTGCCAATGCAGCAACAATGCCAATACAGCAGCAATACCAATGTAGCAACAATGCCAATGCAGCAACAATGCCAATGCAGCAACAATGGCAATGCAGCAACAATGCCAATGCAGCAACAATGCCAATGCAGCAACAATGCCAATGCAGCAACAATGCCAATGTAGCAACAATGCCAATGCAGCAACAATACCACTGCAGCAGCAATGCCAATGTAGCAGCAATACCAATGCAGCAACAATACCACTGCAGCAACAATGCCAATGTAGCAACAATACCACTGCAGCAGCAATACCAATGCAGCAACAATACCACTGCAGCAACAATACCAATGCAGCAGCAATGCCAATGAAGCAACAATACGAAACGCTGGGCATGCGGGGGGGGGGGGATTAACTAGGAAAAAATAGACGAGTACCCGGCAGATATGATAGAACAACCATAAACAGTTAAGTTTTTACCTAGTTAATAACATCCTTCCAATGATCATCAGGTGTGAAAATCACAGCTACATTTTTTTTGTTACTAAAATGGGAGAAATGCCAAGGCTAAGGAGTTGTGTGTGTAAGTAGGGCGGTTTGAATGCAGACGTGGTGACCGCCAGTGGAGGTGAGCGGTTGGAGTGTGTCAAGTGAAGGTGGCAGGAATGTAGGAACAGGGGAAACAAGAGAACAAGAAAAAATGCATCGCGTTTTGCAAAAATACTAAAACACATTCCTTGCGGAGGGAGCTGGTAGGAACGTTGGGTTGCTCGGTCAATGGCCAGGGTCAACGGCGGCACCACGTGGTGTATTCCGCAAATATGCCCGACTGTGAGGGCGGGCACAAGCCGGCGTGAGTAGGTTAAACGTTGAGTTTTATAAGGGCACCACGGGGTGACCAGCCCCTCCCCACCCAGCCCCACCCCTCCCACCCAGCCCCACCCCTCCCACCCAGCCCCACCCCTCCCACCCCCCACCCAGCCCCTCCCCACCCTCCCCTCTCCACCCAGCCCCACCCCTCCCATTTTTGGATGCACGACGGACGGACGGACACAATAATCCCCTGTGGGCTGGTGTAACCAGGACGTTCCTACCAGTTTTATTCAAGCCCAACGCTATCAAAAGAATTCCACATCTAGTGAACTTCAACGGCCTTCTGTTACATGCTGATGGTGACTCGGCTTAAACTGTACAGTTGTGATTTCTTTAGGTTTTATTAAAGTACATTTTGTTCCGTTTATTTAGTTTCATTAACTATAAATATATTGTACCATTTAAGTGTGAACGCAATTAAAGTGTGATTACTCATTTACTTAATTAAACGTAACGTCTATATGTTGTAGGTCGGGGTAAATAAGAAAATGATTGGGAGCCACTGCACTAGACGACGAGGTGGGAAAATTAAGCGTTATTGAAGAGGTAACTTTTGAATCGAATGCTGAGGATAAAAGCGGAGTCTTACAACTGTACTAAAATAAGGGAATGGACAATGCAGAAAAGGGAAACCATATTTTAGGGATAGCAAGGAACGGCCTGCTGCAAAGAGTATGGATCCCTGCGGTCACGAAAACTTCAAATCTCGATTTTATTACACTTTGGAGCTTTACTATGGGATTCACCATTGCGGTGTTAGCTAAACACCAATCGTTCTTGGTTTAGCTGAGAGCCACCGGAGAAGATTGAGGATCAGCATTGTGGGGTGTGATTCACGAACACTTCACGCTTCACGCGCGTCTCGCTTTACGACCATCCTTTCTACGAACAAAAATTCGCCGTAACGAGCAATTTGAATTCAGACCCGTTTGTTCGCGCAACGAGCAGAATGTTTGCTTATCGGGCCCAGACCAATCGATGAATATGCGGCCCCATGGTGGCAGGGGGCGCACGGTGGCCTGCAGATGTTCAACAGCTGTGCTGTGCTGAGTTTGACTGTGTGGAGGAAAGGTGCCTCGTGGTGGCACTGTAATGCAGTTTTCAGTTTCGTTTCAGTTTCATTTATTTGGTATAGCCCTGTGAGCCATTCGGCTCTTGAAACGGGTGCAACTGAAACAAACAAAAACAGGAACAAGAAAACATCTTAAAGTGACTACGCGCAAACAGAAAAATCCAGTAAAAAAAAACCAGCAAAATCTTCCAGAAAAAGCACCGTATATCAATGCCATATTTGTTTGTTGTACTACAACAAACAAATATGGCTGAACCAAAACGTTTTCGAAATCACCAATATAAAGCTATAAAAGCAATGTAACAGTGATCATGGGAACTGTGATTGAAATTGTACAATAAACGATATACATAACATAGCAGCAGTGTGTGTGGGGAGCGGTGGTGTAAGGGCTCGTGCGCAGCACTGCGAGCCCAGCCTCCCGAGTTCGAGTCCCGCTCATGGCCAATACCAGTGATTATCTGAACCGTTCCTGGGGCCTCCCCGAGGGATAACTCAGCCTCAAATGAGTACCTGGTACGGGGTGTAAACCTCGCCATTCGTGCGTGGTACTGGTCACCCACCCACTGTGCCGTGCCGGCCTTCATAGGTGCCCGCGAACAGCACTTGCCCCAACAGTCTGTTATGGCTATATGGGGGATCTTGAACTGTAGTTCTTCATGTGTGTTGTTACATTTGATGTATGACTTTTAAAAAAAAAAA